CTATGAAAATTAAATAGTGTTCTACAAAAATTAATTTTTGTCAGTATCTTAAAAATTAGATGTGATAGAACAAAACAGTTTTCAGATTTGAAATCAGCATAACAGGAAAGGTAAACATCAGAAAAGGTAAACACCATGTCAGATATTTATATGATGTTTATCAGTGTTATGTTTCATATAAAATTATCTTGGGTACATATAATATATTATTAAGTTCAAAAAATGAAAGTAATGTTTGGAAAACCAAACTTTCAACTGCATACTTAATTAAATGCATTCCTACTTTCAACTACATTCCTAATTATTCTACATTAATTAGCATTATTTAAGGAGTTTTATTACATGGAAATCTAATTATTAGATCACAGCTTATTAATATGTTCTTTTGTACACTGTACACAGAATATCTTTAATTGGAAAAATTAATTACAGATATATTTTTGATCATGGAGTTCTTATTTTTCACTTTTTACTGTGCAGTTTTTTGTAAATGTCCTATTTAAAAAAAATTTATTTGAAGCAAGGCAATTTTGAATTGCATTGCAAAAGTAGATATAATCTATGAATGTGTTTACTTTTAGAATGGAGATTTATGCATATCCATCCTGCATCCTCCTGTTGATGACCCACAGAGTGGTGAGTTGCCTTGTGAACGTTGGAATCCTACACAGAATGTCAGGTACCATGATTTCAAATAATAATTATAAAGAAAAGTTAATGTGCATGTCATTAAATCTTTCTTCTTCCTTCAGGACAGTCCTACTCAGTGTGATCTCTTTATTAAATGAGCCGAACACTTTCTCTCCCGCTAATGTAGATGCTTCAGTAATGTATCGTCGCTGGAAGGAATCCAAGGGTAAACATAAAGAATATGAGAATATTATAAGGTATTTTATGTTCAATATATTTCTGAAATTTTAGAGTTATTTTAGGAAAAATCAGAGCTTTAAAAGAAGTCTAAAATGGATCCTTCACAAAATATTTAATTGCTATCATGAAAATAGACCCTTTGTAGAACTTTTCTTTTGAAAAACAACTAAGACTCCTTGAAAAATATAGTTTTTATTTTTTCCTTCATTGAAACAAGACCTTATTTTCATATATTGATCAAATTACAAGTAGATTTTTTACAATAATGGGCCTTTCATAAAAGTCTTAAACAGATTACATATTCTTTTCAAGATCAGGGCTTTATGTTTACACAATTATGAGTAAATGTTTCGCAATAACTCGTAAAATTGGCTCAGGGAATAGAGGGTTCGCCTTCAATGTGGTGAACCAGGTTCGAATCCCAGCATTGGCTGGTCGATACGAATTCTGCACCGACCAAAGTGCTGGCGTAAAATATTCTGAGTGGTAGGCGGATCATGGGTTATATTCCCTTGTGAGGGTTTTGTGATTTTCTTCTCCATGTAACACAAATGCGTGTTAGTTCCACCATAAAGGTAAATTTCTCCGAATTCTTGATCCTGAAGTTCCTTTGTCTTCTGGATTGAGTTAAAAATTACA